CATTCACCTCTTTCACAACAATCCTGCTGGACCAGATCAGTTTGTTAAAAATACAGAAACACCCACAAACAGCACTGGTAGAAGATGACGCCTTTATTAAAAATAACTATTAGGGATGTAAATAATGTACAGTAGTACTTCGTGCTATGTGGAAAAGTTTTGTATAAATAGGGTTTCGGCCAATCAAACCACATTGAAATTTTACTCTAAGAGTTTGCTATTTCACTCAAAAGGTCTACGATATGTAGAAACACCGTGCCAGGCTAAAGCAAACAGTTCTTGAAAATGCAAATAACTGTCAGTCTTATTTAATACAATTTGTAGGTGTGAATATATATATTTTTAAGATTCTATTTATTCATTTGAGAAAGATACAGAGAGAGAGAGAGAGAGAGCACAAGCAGGGGGAGAGGCAGAGGGAGAGGGAGAAGCAGACTCCCTGCAAAGGAGGGCTCAGAGCAGGGAGTCCGATTGGACTCAATTCCAGGACTCAGAGATCATGACCTGAGCTGAAGGCAGATAACCATCTGAGCCACCCCGGGCGTCCCAAGTTTGAATATTTTTAATCATTATAATTTTGAAATATAAATGAAATACATTAAAGGGAATAAAACAAATAAATGGTATAATAATTAATAAGTGTAACATGAACACCTGTGTAACCACCACTCGGAGCATACCTGAACATCAGAAACCTCTATGGCCCTTCTCCTTCCCAAATGTAACAATTATCCTCAGTTACCCTGACATCTAATACTGTTTAGTTTTTCTAGCTTTTAACCTTTTATACATCAAATCAGATAGTTTATGCTTTTTTTGTATCTGGCTTCTTTCACTCCTCATTATGTTAGTGAGGTTTGTTAGTGTTGTATTTATCTGCAGTTCATTTATTTTCTTGACTGAATAGTGTAACATAAATTCCAAAATTAACTCATCCATTTTACTGTTTTAACACTTAGATTGTTTCCAGTTTTGAGCTCTTACAAAATGGTTGTTGCATGCATGGGTACATGCCCAGAAATGCATGGTACAAACGGAGAGCTGTAAGCTCTGGGAGTTGAATCCAAGACAGAGCACTCAATAGTTGGCCCATGACCCTCCTTATTGTCTTTCCTAGAAACCATGTGTCCCCATGGCAAAGTTATAAGATGGCAAAGTTGTAAGATGCAAGCACATTGGATCCTTGAGTCACCACTTGGAAGGAGCTACCTTGGTGCAGCCATTATGGAATCAATACAGAGTTCCCTCAAAAAATTATAGAACTGCCATATATCTGGCAATCTTACTGGTGAGTGTTTATCCAAAGAAAATGAAAACACTAGTGCAAAAAGATAACTGTGTCTCCATATTCATTGAGGCATTATTTATAATAATTGAGACATGGAAGCAAGTTAGGTGTCCCTCGATGGGTGAACGGATAAAGAAAATGTGTCATATATACACACAATGAAATATTACTCAGCCATCAGAAAGAACAAAATCTTGTCATTTGTGACAGCATAGGTGGACTTAGAGGGATTTTGCTAAGTGAAATAAGTCAGACAGTGAAAGACAAATATTGTGTGATCTCACTTAGATGTGGAATCTAAACAAACAAACAAACAAACAAACAACAAACAAGTTCACAGATACAGAGAACAGATTGGTGGTTGCAAGAGGTGGGGGTGGGGTGGGGTGGGAGAAATGGGTACATTTTTTTTCAGTTTAAATAAATTGAATAAAACTTTTTTTTTAAAGGGCTATAGGATACAAAAACTAACATATGGCCAGATGTAGGGGTAGAGCAAAATGTTGGATAGCCTAAATCTTACTAAATTTGAGGGCCTTCTTTAGAGAAAAAATAACCTATTCGAAAATTAGGTATAAAAATAAATATTTATTTGAAAAAAGGAAATTCATCACAAGCTATAAATCTTAAAAGGTCAACATATACCATAAACTTCAAGAAAAATCCACAAGAAAACATTTTTTTAAGATTTTTTAAAAATTTATTTGACAGACAGAGATTACAAGTAGGCAGAGAGGGAGGAAGGGAAGCAGGCTCCCTGCCAAGCAGAGAGCCTGATGTGGGGCTGGATCCCAGGACCCTGGGATCATGACCTGAGCCAAAGGCAGAGGCTTTAACCCACTGAGCCACCCTGGTGCCCCTCACAAGAAAACATTTTAATAAACTGTCTGACACACCTCCCCACACTCTTTTCCAACATTTTTAAGCTGCATGTCCTTTTCCTCCAATTTTACTGAGGTAGAGTTGACAATTAAAAATTGTGTATATCTAAGGTATGCAACCTGATAATTTGATACATAGATACATTGTGAAATATTCATCCCCATCAAGGCAATTAACATCATTCATCATCTCACACAGTTACCTTGGTGTGGTGAGTGTGGTGAGAAATTGAAGCTCTACCCTCTTAGCAAATTTCAAGTATATGATACAATGTTGTTAACTACAGTTACATAGTTATACAGGAGATCTCCAGAACTTACTTATCTTGTGTAACTGAAACTTTGTGCCCCTTGAACAGCATCTCCCCTTTTCCCCACTAGCAGCATACCCTTTGACCACCTCTTCAATTTTGTAATTAGGTGATATATCTTCCACGAGAGGAATGGGAACGTACTGCATGTTGCAGGTGAACTTGCTGTTTGCGATCCCGGTACAGGTTTTTGTCCTCACAGACATAGGAAATCCTATCTATTCTATTTAATGTGATTTCCTCCAGAAAGCTATAATGCATTTGTAATCATCTGTGCTGCATTTAGAGTACATTCCTGATAGGAGAGAACTCCCATTTTGACGGAGTGTAGTGGAGAGATTCAAACGCTCTCTAGGACTCAACACTCCCAAGACGGTGTTTTATGATGTAAAAAATCGCCACACACTAGCTTCTAACTCTGTCCATCTCAAAATCTGTTGTTACTCCTTTGTTACTGGAACGCTTCCAGTGCTGGGGAAGGGAGGACTGTTCAGGTGGACACCAACCCGACAGACGGTGTAGGTCTGTCATTGGTAGCTCTTTGTACATCTGAATGGCTAGGAATAACATTACACATAGGAACTATCAAACCACATAAATACATCTCATGGGGTCAGAGCTAGCCAGGTGCCTGAGGGCTAAAACATAAAGGGATACTCATTTTTAGGGTCATGCAAATGCAAGGTTGGCCTCCCTAAATTTTGCTCCCTTGGCGCTTCCCTTACCTCACCCTCATCCTGGATCTGGCTCTGTGTCCATTAATCACAAACAAAATGTGTCTCCAACTTCACTTTCCTTGATTAAAAAGTTCACAGCCACTTCAAAGCTCCTCAGTATAGTGGGGAGTTAGAGTTAAGACAGTGGACTTAACTGGTAGTGGTTAAAATATGTTATTTTGGGGCACCCGTGTGGTTCAGTCAGTTAAGCGTCTGCCTTCAGCTCAGGTCATTATCTCAGGGTCCTGGGATGGAGCCCAGATTTGGGATCTCAGAAAGCAGATCCTTTAGGAGTCTGCTTCTCCCTCTCCCTCTGTTCTTCCCTGCTGCTCGTGCTCTTGCTCTCTCAAATAAATAAATGAAAAATATTTAAAAAATGTTATTTTGCAAAATTTGCAATTCACATTGCCATGGCCCCTAGGGCCTTGGAAGGGGCTCTCTGCAAGTGAGGGGCCCTGAGTGCATGTACCTAGTCTCTTGATAAATTGACTTCCCCATTCCCACACGGTCATACTTCCAAGACTGAGTTTATCACACCAGCTTATTTTTGCTTTCAGGAAATCAGTTAAGAGCTTAGTCTCTGATCACTAAATTCTACACCTGAAAGTAATATTACACTATGGTTTTTTTTTTTTTTTTTTACACTGCATGTTAGCTAACTGGAATTTAAATTAAAAACTGGAAGAAAAAAGAAAAGGAAAAAAAAAAAAAAGAGCTCGGTCTCTGGAGCTGGACTACTTGGGTTTGCATCTTGTCACTGCCACTCTATGAGTTGGTGAACCCTGAGCACTTTTTCAATATGTCCGTGCCTGAGATTTTCTCATCTGCAAAATGGATATAAGTAATGTTAAGATTAGAGGAATTAGTTCAGGCAGAGTGCTTACAACAAAGTGTCTGGCCCATAAAGGCTCAAGATGTATTGGCTATTGTTATTACTGCTACTGTGGTTGTAGCATTAGTATTCAAGTTAGTAATATGTGCTGCTTCTCAAACCACACTGTGAACCCCGAGGAGACCAACTAGACCTAGAGAGGCTTCACTATCTTCTGAATGGACTGTTTGCTAAATGTAGGAGGAAGGCAGAGAGGAAGAAGTCAGAAGTAAATGGAATCCCCGCCCCCCACTCCATTAATATTAATGTCACCAAATTACATTTAAGAAAAAGAAGAAATTTGTTCTATAAATTAATTTGCTGGCTCATGGCATACCAAACGAGCATTAACACTGGACCTGACATTATTGTGCTCCCAGATGATAGCAGGATAAATTATTTTAGCAGAAAAATCACACGACGGGCTGTAGGCAGACTTTAAAAGTTGCCTTTTAATTCAGTCTCCTGCAGACACGTCCCCAAGACACCTCGTTTCCCCTTGGGTGGAGCACTGTGGTCGGCAAGGGACCCCGGAGCACAGGCTGCGATCGAGAAGGGGAGGCGGGGAGCGAGGGGAGCAGGAGGAAGCTCAGGCTTCCCTGCCCGCGTGGGCGCAACAAGGCGGAACTGGCGGTGGAGTCGGTCACTGCGCCGGGGGTGGGGGTGGGGATGCCGCCCTCGGCCACCCCGCTCCTCCAGGCGCTGCGCCCCAGAACGGGCGTTCGCGGCCCCTGCGACCGCCCGGCAGCCGCCGTACGCGCTCCCCTCCAGCCCCGCGTAGCACCGCCTCCGGCCCGGGGGTGCAGGGACCCGGCACGCAGGCTGGGGGCGCTGTGGCCTCGGCGCGGGGACAGAGCGGACGGGCCGGCCCCGCCTCTTTCCCTTCCCCGCCCGCCCCCCACGCGTCGTGTCGCCGGGAAGCCGGGAGGAGACAGAGCGCTCGAGCTCCGCGGCGCTCGGCCCGCAGTCCTCTGACCGCGCGGAGCAGAGCCAGGTGGCGCCGCCCGAGCCCGGAGCCGCGACCCTCCCCGGCCTCCTTTGTCTGGGAGCGTGCGGCCTGGAAGCGCGGCTCTCGTGGGCCGGGCCCGCGGCCACAGCGCCCGGTGACAGCTCTTCCCTCCCGGAGGGCTCCGGGACAGAGGGGCGGTGGGGCCGGGCCCTGCTCGCCCGCGCCTGCACGCCCGAGCGCGCGCCCCGATGCCCCCGCAGCAGGGGGACCCCGCATTCCCCGGCCGCTGCGAGGCGCCGCCCGTTCCGCCGCGCCGGGAGCGCGGGGCGCGCGGGGGGCGCGGGCCCGGGGCGCCGGGGGGCCGGGGGCGCGCGGGCGGTGCCGAGGGGCGCGGCGTCAAGTGCGTGCTTGTCGGCGACGGCGCGGTGGGCAAGACCAGCCTGGTGGTGAGCTATACCACCAACGGTTACCCCACCGAGTACATCCCCACCGCCTTCGACAACTTCTCGGGTGAGCCGGGCCGGGTGGCGCTCCGGGCGCGGGGGCGCGTGGCCGCACAGTCGGCCGGCGCGGTGCCGAGGGCGGGGGTGCCGCGGGGAGGGAGCGCGGAGCGGTGGTCGCGGGTCCCCGAGGAGGCTGCGGCGTCGGCCGGGCTCCGGCTGTGGGACGCGGATCCGGCGCGGAGCGCAGGACCTTTCCCGAGCCTCGGGGACGGGGCGCGCGCGGGGCCACCCGAGGGAGCGCGGGGCAACGGGAATCCCGGGACCGGAGCCCGGCGGAGGGGGCGGGGGACGGGAGACGGAGCCTGTGCGGAAAGAAACGAGACGGCAATTTAGTAACAATCAGGTGGAGTTCAGGTGGCCTGGTCAGTGAGCTGCGTAGAAAAGTTGCGTCAGGTCGTCGTTGCTGGCGCAGCTGCCGAGTTTCAGTGGGAAGGTGCCTCGCAGGTGCCATTACCTGGGGCCCCGAGAGCCAGTGCTTTTCCTTTCGGTGGCTTCCCTCACAAGGTGCGTCTCCGCTTTGAAGAGCCACAGAGACGGCAGGAAATAGTTGATTTAGTGAGAACAGCACCCAGGGCTCAGGTTTGGATTCCAGTTGGAGAGTAAACGCGATTTCTTCTGGGTCCCCCTCCCGTGCTCCCACTGCTCCCACTCCCATGTCCCCTGTTGGCTCCGTTTCTGATTCTTAGTATCTTTTCCCAGTCTCTCTGAGCTATTTACAGCTCTTATGTATGGTGTGCTGTTGTTTTTTGGTTAGTGGAAACAAAGATAAAGGATTTTTCAGGTCTTTTTGAAATTTCCTAAAGTTAAAATCCACAGAGGCTAATGTGAAGCACTCTCTCTTGCTCTTAAAGAACCAAAAAAAAAAAAAAAAAAAAAAAGCTTCTTGATCTCGAAAGTCCCATGGCAAGGGCTTGCTTTCTTCCACTGTGTCTAAGGTACGCTTCACGAAACTGCTACACTAACGGGTTTCCACGCAGTTTTGTTTTTTCCCTCCCAGCTGGCTAGTGTAAATATTAAAAGCCACTTAGAAAGTTGTGCTGAGACCCACCTGCGTGCTTAATTCAGCTAGAAACCTCCAGGCTGTGCCCAGATGCAGGCCTCTGCCCCGTACCCCATCCCAGTGGAAAGGTGGGCAGGCTTTCTTTTATTTTCTGTGTTAATCCTCCCTTTGAGCTGACACCGTGAGATAAGCAGTGCCCTCTTCTATAAACAGGACAATGCAGGCAGCCTGTGTTTGCTCATGTTCTCAAAACAAGCTACAATTTTATGATAAACCATGAAGTCTTGGAACATTTCCCAAGGGAAAACAGAATTATTTGTGAGGTTTTCCACTGAGTTAAAACGGCAAGATTGGTTCCTATTTACAACCCCCAGTATTGTTTTTAGGCTTTTTGAAACAAGTGTGATAGGAAAATAAATCTTCTGGGGCTGGGCAAAAAGGGCAGGCCTTTCTGGGGTGCCCTCAAACAGCTCAGGGATTTGCAGCTTCAGCCCTGGCCAGGCAGTGAATTGCTAGTTTTGGAGGGTTTGTAAACAAAAATGCCTCCATGGGGTCTCCTTGTTTTAGGCAAGTCTTTAATTCATTAGGGGACCCAGAATAGCTGAAGGGTAGTTGCAGCTGAAACCATCATTTTCCTGAAAGTGGTTAAAAGACACCCCCTGATCCTTGTTTTTGTCTTGTTTTTCAGCTGTGGTGTCTGTGGACGGGAGGCCTGTGAGACTCCAGCTCTGTGACACGGCTGGACAGGTTAGTGGCTCATCATGGCTCAGTGCTGGGAAGGGAAGTGGCCTTTGAGAGGCCTCAGAATAACCTCCCTCCATAACTGGGTTGTTCTAAAGCCTCACGAAGTGGCCCCAGCCCTGCCCTTCTCAGAGGGTGGTGGGCAGGGGGAGAGAGCTCTGAGCTCCTAAAGCAGCGTTTGGCTCAGCTTTGCATGGTCAGGACTGGGGGACAACAAGGTCAAGAACAGGAGTTCTTACAGGAGTTTCTGATCTTAATTACTGCCTTGTTTTTATTAAAGAGTATCAATGATGCTTTGTGATCATTTCTCAAAGTAAGCTGGTGATAGGATCATTTTATTAGAGGTCAACAAGAAAACTATTAAATTTACTCAAGAAAAAGATGGAGTTTTTTTTTTTTTAAGATTTTATTTATTTATTTTAGAGAGAGAGAGAGAGCACGGTAGGGAGGGGCAGAGGGAGAGGGAGAGAGAATCTTAAGCAGACCACACACTGAGCGTGGAGCTGGACATGGGGGTCAATCCCAGAACCCTGAGATCATGACCCTGAGCCGAAATCAGGAGCCAGACACTCAGCCAACTGCACCATCCAGGCACCCGCTCCCCCTGCACCCCCACAAGAGAAATGGAGATGATGTCACTGGGTGACTATTTCCCTCCCTAAGCCGTGGTTGGAATCACTAGGGCCACCCCCTTCCTTAGAAGCAGAGAAAGAGTGGTCGAAGCTCCCTGAGCTGGGGGAATGAATGAGCCTGGACACAGTCTCTCCAAATCTTGTCTCAAGGGTCAGGCACTTGGATGACCCACCCAGGGAGGGATGGGTACTGGGGTGTGCCCTGACGAGCTCCAAGGACTCCTCATTGGCCAATCATCCCCCGGCACGGTGCTGGTCGCTGAGGTTTCCTTGTTCTCTGTGAGAACCCAGGGTGCCGTGTCTTGAGTTTGTCAGTTTGACAGTTGGTCAACATGGAGTCTTTCCTGTCTGCACTAGAGTTAGAGCAAATGTGGAGGGGCCCTCTGTAGGAGCGTGAAGCCACCTCACTTTCTGAGGCGTTGTCACGTGGCCGTCTGTGTGTAAGAAGCCGGCTTTCCAGGATTCCCAAGCGCCTCATCCAGACAGCTTGCCTACCCTGGGATAGCAAATTCACAGGTTTATTTCTCAGAACTCAAGTTGCCATAAGACTGGGCAGCTTCGTTGCCCATCTCAGTGCTGGTTTGGCGGTGAGTGGTGGCCTTGCGTGTCCTGTTGCCTCCGTCCCGGAGCATCTCCACTGCCCCTTCAGCGGCAGCTGAGAAAAGCAAACACACCGTGTATCTTCCTGCCTGTGGGAGGGAAAACTCAAAAGAACACCGCTCTTCTAATATTGAATCTTTCCGAATACCCTTCTCGTATTTGTTATGAAAACTTAACTGCTTTGTATAAAGTAAGACTCTTTTTCCTATCACGTGTCCGACTTTCTGATCTTGGAAATGAGGTCAGAGTCGTGCATCGATAAATGTAGGTGTTCCTGCTAACGCAAGAAGGGGCAGCTGAGCAGCCCAAGAATAAGACTGTGGACAGGAAGCCCAGGAGGCGCGGTTCCTGGGGACCCTTGAGAGGAGAAGCAGGCAGATCAGTGCACATCCCTGCCCATGAATGGGGGCTCCCGTGTTAGTGGTTGACTCCTGTCACAGACAGGGCTTCCTGAGTTGGGCTTCGAGGCCTAGGGCCTGCATGGTGCCTGGCACAGAACAGGGCTTAATCATGGTTTATAATGCAGACATGAAATGGAGTGCTGGGTCCTGGGGAATGACACCTTATGCCCTGGCCTGCCCCTCAGGAGACTTAAAGTTTGTAGGGAAGATAAACCAGTTGGTAGAACTTGTGAAAGAAAGCAGGGAAGTGCCATAAGGAGGAAGGCAGTGTGGGCTTGGGGTGCAGGACATGTGGGTCTGGGAGAAAACCACTGGGCCATTTTGAAAGGGCATAGGACTATCACCAGAAAAACTTTGTGGAAATGATCCTGAATTATTGAGGCAGAGTTCGATTTTTTCCTTAGAATGGTCTGTTTAAAAGTTGGGGAAGCACAGGAAGAATTTTGGAGATACTTTCATGAGAAAAGTTTATAATTAGGGAAATAAAAGGACTTTGGTGCAAGTTGTTAAGTTTTAGTTTATTTGGAAATTATTCTTCTGGCCTCCTGGTGATGTTTTCATTGAGTTTTACTGTATTTTTAAACTGCTGTATTAGTAAAGTATACCTTACTATGTAATGAGTGAATAAACCAACTTCAAGAACTATGAAAAGTATACAGCTGGTAAGATAAGATCGTTTTTTTCCCCTACTGCCCAAGTATCCATTAGGACTAATAGCAAAGCCAGTCAGAGTGGTAGTTCTTTCCTACCTTCCTTATTCCTTAGCCCAGATCTGATAAACAGCCTTTTAAGGGACTTCATTGGACACCTGCTGTATTTCCCTAACGTTGACTCACTCAGTGAAACACCCTCCTCCTCCAGGCAGTCCTCAGGATAGCCTTGCGGGCTTAAAGTGACTTGTGCGACTTCTCTTTCCAGCTCCAGGGGAGTGTGAGCACAGGTGGTCCTCACCTGGGGCCCAAATGCAGATTTCAGATGGAAGCTCAGAGCAAGAATATGGCTCTACTGGCTGTATTTAAATATATATGTATATATAAATATTTATGCTTATATATATTTATATAAATATGCAAATATTTATACACATATATATTTATATATATGTATAATGTATAATGTGTATAATATATATATGTATAAATATATAAATATTTATGCTTATATATATTTATATAAATATGCAAATATTTATACATATATATTTATATATACATATATATTTAAATATAGCCAGGAGAGCCATATTCTTGCTCTGAGCTTCCATATATATATGTGTGTATGTGTGTACACACACACACACTAGAATTGCTTTTTGTGTCTTTGGGTTTTCTTGTTAGGGAGGTAGGTGAGCCCAGAAAATTTTAAAGGCGTTTTTAACACTGGACTCACAGTCTGACTCAAGTGAAAATAGATCAGAGACTGAGGACTTGGAGAACATACCTTTGGCATAAGAGAAGGGGACCATCACTGAAATAGGAGAAGGTCACTATGGCATTGCCAGGAGAAGCTGAAAATTCTTCCATCTTTTGACCCATGAGGCACTTAGAAAAATCCATGCTAAAAAAACCAAAAGCTCATATTGGAGCTTGACCAACACTGCCATCCAATGGCCTGTCCGCCACGCCCTGTCCCTGCCTGAATTCCATATGTCGTCCCCACAGACCTGGCAGGTGCCTGCTAATCCCTGGGCCACAGAACACCTCTCCTGGAGGGGACATTCCAGTGGGCCTTGACATGCATGTGCTTGCTGTGTTGATTTCAGCAAATAGCTAAGGTTTCTGGTCAGGCAGTGAGGAGGACGGCTTGATTTCTGCTGCGCTCCCTGAACCCTTTAGCCAGAATCTTAAGAGGTCTGGGGAGCCTGATTTCCAAAGCCCTGTCACAAGGCCCAGCCCCTGAGCTTGCCTTTCTTTTTATTGGTAACCGTAACCCTAGCTTGCTGGGCACGGCCAAGGGCGACTGGCTTCCAACAGTGAGCTGCTGCTGCCTGAGGGAGTTGACCTTCTGCAGGGCTCGGTTTTGTGCTTCTCTGAGGCCATGGAGAGCAGAGGCAATGTTTTGTAACAAGATCTTTGCTGGGCCATCGTCGACTTGGTGGAGTTTCTGTGTTGATTCTTTCAGCACAAAGTTGGCACTAAGAAAGCCAAGTTGTTCTTTTTAACCATCGTGCATAGAAGTCTGACAAGTGGCAGAGACAAAACACCAGATTCATTCCTGAGCCTTTGAGCTGGTTGACTTTAGTGCTGTTAGTCGGTTGTTACCGTACAGCGGAAATATGGAGCCTCAAAGGAAGAAAGTGCCTTCAAGTAAAACAGATCCAGGTTTCCTTTTTACCTGCAGAACAGCCACGGATGCAGAATCCTCTGCGCGTAACTAGGAATTGGTAAACGATCAGAGTATGCCAACGGTGTTCTGAAACCTGGATGACATTCCCCTTTTTCATGCCACTAGGAAGATATCTGTCATAGGACACCTGTGTGAGACTGGCACCCACAGGTAGAAATTATATTTTACTTTTTTTTAAATTTTTAAAAAGTTTTATTTATTTTTTAAGATTTTATTTACTTATTTGACAGAGATCACAAGTAGGCAGAGAGAGAAGGGGGGAAGCAAGCTCCCCACTGAGCAGAGAGCCCGATGTGGGGCTGGATCCCAGGACCCTGGGATCATGACCTGAGCCAAAGGCAGAGGCTTTAACCCATTGAGCCACCCAGGCACCCCTAAAAGTTTTATTTTTTAACTTTCTTTAATATTTGTACCCGATGTGGGGCTTGAACTCACAACCTTGAGATCAAGCGTAGTATGTCTTCCGACTGAGCCAACCAGTCCCCCCCAGTCCCTGATAGAAATTTTAAATAGGGATGAGATGATGTAAATATTTTCCTATGAGAGAGTTGAGAGAAAGCTTTCAGTTCAATGATTGGGTCATGGCAGGTGACTGTGAAGAAATGCTGATTTGGAGACACACATCCCTACAGGGGCTGAGGACAGGTTTGTCTGTCCATGGCCAAATCCCCAGGCCCTGCATGGTGCCCAGAGGCCAGCGTGCATCTCTGTTGAGTGGATGACTTTGGCAGGTAGTTAGCAAAATGATGCTTCGCTGTTAGGATGAACTGTCATTATTCCATCCAGTTCTCTATACCCAGAGTAGGGCGGGTATGACCTTTCTTGGGTCCTTTATCAGCCCAAAGCAGGCTGCATGGAGGCCCCTGCTATTTGCAGGGAAAAAAGAAGGGAAAGGAAGTTCGCAAAGGAAGAAAGGAGGGAGAACAAGAGATCAAGCAAAAACAAAGAGGTATATCAAGCAAGAATGAGAATGTGTCAGCCAATGTGACATTGCAAGTCACATTGTCGTAGGTGACTTTGAGAGGCATAGGCTCTCTGCACTGCCAAGGAGAAGCCCGTCAGAGGTTGTCAGCTCCAATTCTGGGTCTGTCCTTGTGTCTGATTGACATCACTCAGTGGCCTGTGCCTGCCCTGAGTGTGTGCGGTGCAGATGGGACAAGGCTGCCGTGAGGGCAGGCAGGGCTGGATTCTTCAAGAGAGAGCTGGGTTAGTCTGGGGATCTCTGGGGTCAGACTGGAGACTTGGGGATCCCCTTGCTGCCTCGATTTTAGAAGAGTAGCTAGATAACCAGAGTTGGAAGAGTAAATCTGGGTTACTCTAAGCTGAAGCCTGGAGAAAGGAAATTTGATTTTCGTAATTCACCTACTGTCAGTGCTTTTTCTGTGGTAAGTTGCCAGAGGGCCGTGAGCGCTGGTGCAAATGTGGAACGCCTGGGGCAGGTTTGGGGGCCTGGCGGTGCAGGAGCCCTGCACAGGTAAGCAGCAGCATCGCTTTCTGAGGCCCTGGCCTGTTCCTCCATAACCGGACCTGCCAGACCCTTTCGAGAAAAAACAGTAAAGTGGTCTCTTTGCCGATGAGACTCGATTGAAGAGGTAATTCTCGGCTGCTCTGATTGGTTGCAGGATGAGTTCGACAAACTCAGGCCTCTCTGCTACACCAACACGGACATCTTTCTTCTGTGCTTCAGTGTGGTGAGCCCCTCCTCCTTCCAGAACGTCAGCGAGAAGTGGGTGCCAGAGATTCGATGCCACTGTCCCAAAGCCCCCATCATCCTCGTGGGGACTCAGTCAGATCTCCGAGAAGATGTCAAGGTCCTCATCGAGCTGGACAAATGCAAAGAGAAGCCTGTGCCCGAAGAGGCGGCCAAGCTGTGTGCCGAGGAAATCAAAGCTGCCTCTTACATCGAGTGTTCAGCCTTGACTCAGAAAAACCTCAAGGAGGTCTTTGACGCCGCCATCGTCGCAGGCATCCAGTACTCGGACACTCAGCAGCAGCCAAAGAAGTCCAAAAGCAGGACTCCAGACAAAATGAAAAACCTCTCCAAGTCTTGGTGGAAAAAGTACTGCTGTTTCGTATGATGCCGGCTGGGCGCCCGACGGGTGGACTTAGACGGCATCTGCGGTAGAAGCTATATTAGCTGAAGGACCCCTGTCATCGTGGAGGAGCCGTAGAGACAACATGCGCACGCGCGTGTGTGTATGCGTGTGTGTGTGTGTGTGTGTGTGTGCGCGCGTGTATCATAGCTGGAGCTCTCAATTTATGTCTTCTCTCTTGCCTTTCATGTTCTTGTGTGTTTGAGCTTAGGGACGAGCTAATCATTAATTACGCAAGATGTTTTTGAAGTCAGTGGAGCATTTTTCGTAACTCTGGAAACGTAGAGCTCTAGACCTCTGCATTAATTTATATCTAATTTGAAAAAGATGCCTCAAATCTGGGTGTCAAGAATGAAATCTTTTTTTTGCTATGTTATAATGGACCGAAGAACACAAGAAGAAAATGGTGTGGTTAACCCTCGTCCCTTGACCAAGGGCTCCTTCCTGCAAGTGCGTTACGGCCCCCAGCCAGCTATGGTGAAAATCACTCTTAGCTCTGAGACTCCACACACTTTTAAAAAACTTTTTTAAGGAACTAAAATCCGAGGGGGAATAAAAAAGAGAGACCTCTGCCTCCAAGACCTCAAACCAGTCACTTTTGTCATAGGCGAATATCTGGTTGCTTCCGATTGAATATCAACCAGCAGAGAACATGCTACTGGACTCTGGCACTGGGTACACCGGAAAGAAAAAGTTGTTCATTGGGATTTTTCCTTCTTAGACCAGTCGTGTTGACATTGTACAAACATAGCCAACATGCCTTGTGGAGTAAAGCAAGTAGTAGAAGCTCTTGTGTTTCCTGTGGGGAGTGACTCGTGTTGGGATCAGAATGTGATATTTGCTTGTTCGTATGCACGCACCAAACTGCCTGAATCCCTGGTGGCTAGAACACCAGGGAACACCTATCGGAATTGTCTTAAAATTTCCATACTGTTTAACTTAGCCCACCTGCAGGGACGTGGACATGCTTGAAAGGCCTGCAGCAAGCATTTGTAGGAGACAAGGTGTACTTTTTTCCCCTTAAGTCAGCTGAAATGTACACACACACACACGGCTGTATTTGCTGCTGATTCAGACTTTTAAACAGTTAATGAAAAAAACCCAGCCACAAAAACAGATGTGAGGGAAGCTCAGCTTCCTCTTTTTCTTACTTTTTTGAACAGCTCTCTTTCTGATTGTATCCCTCTCAGATATGATTTTAAGTATACCTTGACACAGTTTTGAGACCATCTTAAAACACGAACATCTCTTAAAACCTGTTTTAAACCTGAATGTCTCTTGAAACCTGTTAAAACCACCAGTTAAAGCCACAGATGCCTTTGAGGGACCTGGCAGAGACCAGGGCTAGGAGTCAGAGGGCCCCCCGGGGGCGGGGGACCACAGCTCCCCCTTTTGGCTGCATCCTTGCTGGGGGACAGCCGGGAAACCATGTACTTGTGAAACATTTGTGTTCTTCAAGGTGCCAGTTTCTAGGGCTTCATCTTTTGGAGAAAAAAGTCCCCTATCAGAAGAGTAGGTTTTTCTTTACTTTGTGATGGCTGTGATTCTGAGATGCCAAAAGGTAGCCTAACCCGTGACTTACAACGTCTGGTTGCGGTGGGTCAAGCAGAGTTACCAAAATCAACTCGGCAACTAGGGAAACTTCCGTAGAGCCGGTGGATAGAAGAAGTCTTACCTTTCTGTGGGTCTTGTGTTGTCTTTTTTATATTTAAAAAAGCGAATTTGTGTTTTCCTATAGAAGTAAAAGATTGGGTTCGGGGCTTCTTTGATTTCTGTTAGTAAATAAAATTAACTGGTTTCTCTGTTGAAAAACAAAAATACTTCGATTGGTCACTATTTATTTTTCTTTGGCTAGCCGTCCTAGTTTCCTGAAGTGTCTAGTTCTAGCCTGAGTGAATAAGATGATGTCATTTGCTGAAATGCTCCAAACAGACTCTAAGCTGGGCTACCCGGCTCACCTGTTTCCCAGGCTGGGCTCTGCCTGCTCTGGTGCAGAGGTAGGAGTGGCGGGAGAGCTACTGGGTGAGTAATTTTAAATAGTACTTTTGTATTTAAGCAAAGGTCATGGAGTACCATGCAAATTAATTTTTAAGATAGAACACAAGACTTGAAAGACATTTCATGCACGAGACAGCATATGGGGCTGTTCTTGGTCCCCCTATGGGGTGGGCCACTGGGGGAAAGCTGTCAGGGAACACACCTGTGTTAAGCTTTACTTAAGTGGTTTATTTTTAACCCAACTCGATACAACCCCGTACCATTAGCGCGAAAAATCCAGAGGGTTGACCTTTAAACACAGCCATTTTTAGCATGTTGCTGCATTTTCTAGACTAGTAAAGGTACGATTGATTGGTTGTACTTGAGGCTTTCCTCCATTTTTCTTTCTTTGTGTGATTGGGCAGAAAAGTTCTTAAAAGTATGTGCTTGAGTTAAACATGAAGTTGATTCACTTCAAGGTGCAAACACTGTTAAACTTGCAGCTTGGTTTTGCAGACAATTTTGTGAATGGTGCTTTAGGAAATGCCACTCTAGCTCACCTCCTACAGTGTAGGCTAGTCATAATTGAAAAATCCAATAGACTCCCAACCTGTTTTATCACTTTTTACCATGTATGTGGCAATGAGCCTTTTGCAATATTGTTCTCTGTGCTTGACAGACTTCAGGAGAAGCCATCCAGGTATGACATGAGCCAAAACGAAGGCAAGGTCTTCTCCACAGGCTGTCGTAACCTGGTGCCTTACCAAGTTGTGCGTCTCTGTTTTCAAGTGTAAATGATGTTGAGTAGAATGTTGACCTTGAAAATGCTATAAGTGAGGTGGTATGAAATAAATTCTGACCTATGGATATAACTGCACTTGCTTTTTCTACCAAGGAACGTCAGTGGGAGTGAATAAAAGCTTAGCCATATCAAAAGCAGCCTGGTTGGGAAGCGTCATGGCGGCCCCCAGAGGCGTTTGGGGAAACAACCCTGACCAACGTTAAATGCTTACTGAATATGGGGTTTTGAGAATTCGGGGGTCACAGTCTGACATAAGTCCTCTCTAACTCTGGGTTTGTAGTGGATCGTGTGCTGGTGGCCCACGTGTGTCCCTGGCAGGAATGCTGTTCTTGGAGCCAAACATTGGGGCCCAGAGAAGCACTTAGAGTGTGATGATGGGTAGGTCACTAGATCTGAGCCTCAGTTTCCTTATGTGTGAAAGTACTGCTTTTCTCTCCAGGCTATTTGAATCCTGAATGAGAATCCATGGGCACATGTGGAGTCAGTGTCCAAGATCTCTAAAGGCCATGGAAGGGATTAGGCCATGAGCCTCGCCAGCTTAATCAGTAAGGCCAGCAAGGCTCAGACATCCCCGTCCCTGAGGGCTAGGCGGTGCCCGTGTGGCATATGTGAACTTGCGGTCAGCCTTCTCATCACACCACCAGGATGTGGCCCTTACCCCAGGGAACGTGGCGCTGATGACAGGACCATTCTGGGAGGCCAGATGTCCTCCTGCTTCCACCCTTAAGCCTCAAGGGTAAAGGGCTCCTGGTCATCTAGGAAAGGATGGGCCTGTTGCCCTCATTCCCCATGGTGCCTCTGTGGCCAGGCCTTGACTCTTCGTATCCACGGAACATTCAACCACTTTGCTGTGCAGAGAGCAGCTAAAATTACTGGTGCTGATACCCAGCTCGCCGTCACTGGCCTCCACTGGCAGTGTAATCCCAGCTCAGGTGACCTGGAAGTATCTCTTCAACCACCCCCCGCTTGCCTTCCCAGGATACATTGACAGAGCCCTCAGTCCCTTTAGATGTGGTCAGGGAATGCTTCATGGATACGTTTCCAAGACCTGAAGGAGGTGAGAGAATGACAAGTATCTGGGAGGAAAGTTTTCTGAAGGGAAAACAGCAGGTGCAAACGCCCCGAGGCAGAGCAAGTGTCTGTTACGTCCTGGAGGCCAGTGTGGACAGGACTAAAGTAGTGCAGGGAGAGGAGCAGGAGAGGACCTAGAGGAGGGGAGGAGGTCAGGGAAAGGATGAGGTGAGAGAGGCACCTGACATCATGGAGGGGATGGAGTGACAGAAGGGCACGGGAGGAGAGGGCTGGGCTCCAGAGTCCGGCTCTTCGGGTTTGAATCTTAGCTCTGCCGCTTACTGGTTGTGATTCCTTAAACAACTTAGATTTTCTGTGTCTAATACAAATGGCTATCAGACACATGAAAAAATGTTCATCCTCACTAGCCATCAGGGAGATTCAAATTAAAACCACATTGAGATATCACCTTACACCAGTTAGAATGGCCAAAATTAGCAAGACAGGAAACAACATGTGTTGGAGGGGATGTGGAGAAAGGGGAACCCTCTTACACTGTTGGTGGGAATGCAAGCTGGTGCAGCCACTTTGGAGAACAGTGTGGAGATTCCTCAAGAAATTAAAAATAGAACTTCCCTATGACCCTGCAATTGCACTCCTGGGTATTTACCCCAAAGATACAGATGTAGTGAAAAGAAGGGCCATCTGTACCCCAATGTTTATAGCAGCAATGGCCATGGTCACCAAACTGTGGAAAGAACCAAGATGCCCTTCAACGGACGAATGGATAAGGAAGATGTGGTCCATATACACTATGGAGTACTATGCCTCCATCAGAAAGGATGAATACCCAACTTTTGTAGCAACGTGGATGGCACTGGAAGAGATTATGCTGAGTGAAATAAGTCAAGCAGGGAGAGTCAATGATCATATGGTTTCACTGATTTGTGGAGCATAACAAATAGCATGGAGGACAAGGGGAGTTAGGAGAAGGGAGTTGGGGGAAATTGGAAGGGGAGGTGAACCATGAGAGACTATGGACTCTGAAAAACAATCTGAGGGGTTTGAAGCAGGGGGTGGGAGGTTGGGGGAACCAGGTGGTGGGTATTAGAGAGGGCCGGATTGCATGGAGCACTGGGTGTGGTGCAAAAACAAGGAATACTGTTATGCTGAAAATTAAAAAAAAAAAGCTAATAAAAAAAAAACTAAAAAAAGATTTTCTGCGTCTAAACTTGAGAATTTATAAAGGGAATAACCCCGGCTCCTGCCTCAGTGGTCTGGTGGGGCTACAAACATGAGCTGCTCAGTCAGTGTCCGCTCTGATGGGTCTCCTTGGCAAGTTCTCTTCACCTCTCTCACAGCATCTGCCTAGGTGACTGGCCCCCAATGGCTCTTATGTTCAGCCCTACTAATTTTTGTGAGCCTTATGCTTTATATGGATGATAGCACCTTTGTTTTTCATTTCCACTCATTTTTATATAATAAGAGCAAAACAAGATGAATTACTCCAGCAGTTGTACAGGCTGACTCTGGAACAGGGGCTGGCCACTGGCGGGGAGGGCCCCGGGCCAACCCCCTCCGAAGGGGAAGGTGGAATTGAGCCTCTGGAGGTGGTTTGGTGAGTTGGACTGAGACAATGAAGTAAGATTTGTGTGAAAGTCAAGGATCACGCGTCCAGGGTGTCTGGCCCTTGACTCTTTTCATGCAAGAAGTTTTTGCTTCAGATGAGCATGAGCAGCTCTGTGAATCTAGAGCCATTTT